GAATTATTTCCTCATCTAACTCATATTTTACTCGGTGGAAGTCGGTTTCTTTGAAATGCTAATTGCCTTGCACCATGATGCATTTGATTAAATGACTCTTTTTGTGTTATCCCGTGTGGTATAATCCCTGGTTAAATCCGTTCATGCGAGAAGATTTGGAAGTGCAACTTGGCCATAGATTTATCCCATTTTCAAGACACTGGAGCTGTAATAGTGGTTCGATTTTTTCCCTTCTGCTCCTAGCTCTCAACTTTGTAACTGGCGAGTTAGGTACTCGACTGTCTTCTTGTGCTCTGCACCTATTGGATTAGGATTTGGTTGTGGTGGCAACTGCACCGCGTTCACCATGATTGGGTGGAAATCGAAGTTTATCGATCCCCACAGAGGGCGCCAATATTCTGTTCTTAAGACAGAGATGTCTAATCAGAGACTAATGAATTTATATTGGATCTGAATGACCTCTCTCAATCATCTATAGGGAGATACCTTAGAGATCAACATATCACTATGCATTATAGTAGAAGGTATAGCCAAAGGGTGGAGTGTGTGCACAGTGACAACTAAGAGAGATGGTTCAAGTGTGTACCTGATTGGTTTAATCCTTTATTTATATATGAGTTACCTGACAAGAGTGAATTTATAGGTCTCTTAGAAATATTTAGGGGTCCAATTCTTGATTCATTGTTGTCGTACTAAGATTAGTATAATTAAGAAATATTTTCTTAATTTTTCTCTTAGCTATTAACCCTTCTTTAACCTTTTGGAATGTTGGCCTTTATGTTAGGTCCATAACAGTTATTAATATAGTAATAAAAATTAATAATTGATTTATATTCAGTCATAAGTGATTAGTAATCATTCATTAGTAATTATAATAGTCTATAAACTTATCTTTGATTTTGGAAACTGATATTAAGTTTATTAAGGCCATGTAGCTTATATCAACCATGACTCTGCTCAAAGCATTAACCATGAATGAAGGTTAATAATTATATTAATTCATCCGTAAAAGGTTTTGACATTGCAACACTATTCGAAGTCCACTTTCTCAGTGATAAAGGTAGGTTTCTTCCCTTGCTTTTGGGTGACATGTTGGTGATTATCATTTCAACCCATCAAATCCAACATTCTCCTATCACCATTTTTCATCCTCTATCCCTACGTTCGTACCATCATCATCATTTTTGTTAATTAACGATTTCCTCATTCTATAGGGATTTTATTCACCACCCGCATGACCCATGTTTTTGCCTCCCCCGTGTCAATGCATCTAACTATTGATATTAATGTCATATTTATATTCATTGGCCACTCCTTTGTCAGCTTTTACTGTATGATATTTGTTTCCCTTCCCAATTTTAGGTTTTTCACATTAACTGTTTACCCCTTCGCCTTTATTATTTATGCCCACTATTACTTCCTCTTTATCGCTTTGCATTTATGGTCCTCTTGTCTAAAGATACACTGTGGCAGTGGAAGTTTAATTTCTATTTTAACCAACATGGCAATATGTCCTTCTCAGAATTATTGTATAAACAAAATGGCTTTCATAGTGACATATTATCAATTCTTTGGAAATCTTGGTATTTTTATTACTATAATTCGACTAAAGTAACTAACTCAGTAGCCTATGTGAGAAGAAAGATGATATTCTTCTATGCAACTATGCATGCTGGCTCTTTTAATTAAAAGAGTTGGGACCATATCCAGAAGCAAAATATTCTTTTAAATTACAACAAAGTTTAGAACTTAGACCCACACTAATAATGTAGGATAGAAAATCCTTTAAAAAGATACATCCAAGGACCAATTTGATTCTTGGAAAAGATTAAAGAATCAACAAATCTTTTCCCTTTTATATAAATTTAAAAAAATAAAAATTTCATGGGTTTGAATGGTGAATACATGCAATTATTTATATAGGAAAGACTTAAAAGTTTTAAGGGGAGCAGCACCCATTTGAATATTTCGACTTCAAAATTGAATTGCACTCACCAAAGAATCTATAAAAGATAAATAATATTTTCTTTACATTTAAGCATTTTTCTATTTGGAATAAACTTAAATAAGATATTAATACTAATAATAAGTAATAAATAAAAATTCTCTGTCTTCACCGGAAAATTTTTATTATTTTCATTCCTTTGTGCGTGCATGCCCTATTTCCTGCCAAATTTTAAGAATAGATCATGAGATAAGAGAAAATGAAAGAAGAAAAATGATTAATACAAAGAATTGGAAAGAGAATACGGGATAAGATTATCTAATTAAACCAATCATTTTAATTTTAACAATTTCTTTTTTTTTATTTTGGAAACAATTTTAATTTTAACAATTATATCTTTCACAATCACCCTAATAGCTAATGGCTAAGAGATAAACACTTGGTTACAGCTCTGCCTATGAGGCACAACCTATAAATAGACATCTTACACATTGGATAGTATGTAAAAGCTACCTCTGCACACCAATGAGATTAAGTACCATTATATCAAGGTGAGATAAATAAGACGCTCAACTACTATATAAACAGAGGTTTGAAGTCCAATTATGATCATTTTTCCCATCTTGACTAAAGATCTTAAAAGATATATTAACTTGAACATCGGATTGTCTTGCATGCATAACTCAGTCGTCTCAGTCTACCAAAAGATCAAGCTTCAAATACTTCATCCCACAATTCATCCTGCAAAGCCGATGACTATGAGCATCCTGCAAAGCCATCATCTCGCAGCACTAATTCTAGCATAGATTTGTATACAAAAATAAAAAATAAAAAATTCTAGCATAGATTTAGATTATTATTGGATCAGGCTTAACCGTGTGTGATCCAATCCAATAAAAAAATTGGACCGATTAGGTACAAACTATTATATCTTTTTGGGAAAAGTTCACTAATACTCCTGTGGTTTGCTTCGGAATCACTTATGCTCCTGTGGTTTTTTTCTATCACATATGCCCCTATGCTTTATAAAAAATAAAAAATCACAGGGACATATGTGAGAAAACATACTCTTTTGCAAATTACAGGGGCATATGTGATAGAAAAAAACCACAGGGACATAAGTGATTCTGAAGCAAACCACAGGGGCATTGGTGAAATTTTCCCTATCTTTTTTTACTTGGGGGGGGGGGGGTAAATGGGAAAAGTATTTAAAATTGATGAAGAAGGAAAAATAAAAACAATAATGATCCTTTTGGATGATGGAATCACAATAATAATTTAATATTTTAAATTTTAATTTTATCATAATTAAAAGTGATTCGGAATTATAAATTTTATTTTTGGGTTATAGATATTTGAGTAAAGTCCTTTTTGGGTCCCTAACAAAAAACACGGTCTTTTCTTTAATTCCTTACAAAAAAATATAGTCGTCTGATTTAACGTAGGTCTTTTTTGAATTTGTGAGGAACCGTGATTTCAACTAAATATGTTCACTTTGAATTTATTAAGGACCTCGGGACTAATTTTTTTTGTAAGAAATTAAAGTGAGGACCGTATTTTTTGCTAGAGACCCAAAAAAGACTTTACTATATTTTATCTGAGCCCATTACTTATCTATAAGATCCTCAGTGTACATTCTTAGGAAAACAAAGGGAACCAAAGGCCTTTGTTATGTTATATTAACATTTATTTCTTTTAGAAGAGTGACAAAAATCATTTATGTGCAAATTGATTGAAAAGAACTAAATAAAAACATCCATCATGCATTGAAAATTTGCAATTTGCAAGAACCAACAACTTGAAACTCTGCTGACCGCTAAGCGAAATCTAAGGCAACAAATTTAGCGTTGCACACGTGAATGCAAACAACTAACGTGCTCGTTACATTCCATCCTATCTACTACAGTATAATAAGTTCCTTCTCTTTATTTCGGTTCTCTTCGTTCTTTGCCTTTCATTTTCTTTTTCTATTTTTCCTTCCTTCAATTCAAACCTTTATCATTTTATATAAACAAATTGTGTGTGTATTTCAGCAACTTTTGTGAATATTGGGTGAGGACTTGCGTTTGCTCCCTAATACGCCAAAAGGAAGAGCCAACATGACTCGTGAAGACCACTGAACTCAAACAAGTTGTGACATGATTCAGTTCACCACCAAGTGCAATAAACAATGTCTATGTATAGTAACTCAACTTTTGCATCTCTTACTCATTTTTTGGAATTCTCGACTAATTACAAAAACAGACCGTCTATAAGACATTCTTTATTTTTATTTTTATTTTGGATACAATCTATAAGACATTCTAACACACCATATACAAGCACAATTAGTCCACTGAGTGCTCTGGTAAAGTAATGTCTAATGTTCAAATCTCACAGTCCTTACGTTCCCCAACTACAATATTTAGCCTTTCTTATACTAGACAAATAAGGAACAATTGATAAAAATAAAATAAACTTAAATTAATTAATACAATTATCAATAAAAAAAACCTAATAGCTCATTTCACATCTATCATAGACTTTATTCTTTTTTATTTGATAGAAGCAAAGTCTTTATTATATAGTACAATGTGTTTCGCGTTATGAATTCATTTTTTCTTTTTCCATTTTGGGGCTTACAAGATCACTTGTGTGAACTAAAAACAACATATTCAAAGAACAATTGCAACCCTGAAGACAACTTAACAAGCATTACGTGCAAATAACATTATTATTTTAGAAGACCTTGCAAATTTGGAAACAGAAATCGATAATAGGGAAGAATAAACTCCAAATAAAACCCCAAAAACGCACCCTATGAAGTGGAGCCCTCATTTGTCGGTAATGTGAGGGCAAACCAATCCACATTCTATAACACATATAAGTCAGCTATCTACCAAACAGCAACCAACTCCTTTCACACAACCAAGTGAACATGATAAAAAAAAAGAAGAAGCCATATTAACTAGTACATGAAAGAATCATAAATGTAACAACACAGCATTAATTTTCTCGGAATCCAAATACTTTTTTTTTTTATTTGCTTTTGTTTGGTGGAACCGATAAACCAAGATGGGTTTGATATATATTTTTTTCCAACCATGTTCGGATGATATGTAAATTTTCCAAATCTATTCTCTTTGCCTTTCCATTATCTCTAGATAACGTTCAAATATAGTAACAATGTGACATATGATATTCAGAACCAAATAAAAAAAAATAAAAATAAAAAAGAGAAAAAGTGAGCGAAGTTAACGCCAAGCAGAAGCGACGGTGAGTGTTCTTCCCATCCAACCAAAGCAAATCCCACCGTTCTCTTCTTTCACAGTGAGTCCCGGGTTGACTCGGTTGTTGTTACCCAGCGATTTTATTGACTCGGCCACGCTTTGACTCAGTGGTTTCAACTGGAACCCAGCCATGCTCATACGCGCGCGCCATTTCCCGAAAACTTCGCATCGTTCCAAGCGATCCCTCCCTTCACAAGCCACCGAGTTGCATAGCTTCCGACTCAGCCCCTCCTCCACTCTGACTCGGTCCGAGTTGTCCCTCCCCATCACAGACTCAATTGAGTCAAATAAAGAGCTGTAGTAGGACCACGACTCGGCCACGCGAGCCAAAAACGGCGCCGTGTTGGCGTTCATCTCTTGCTCCAGCAATATCACCACGCGCGGCGCGAGCTTCTTCACGCGCCTCAAAAGCTCGTCACGCGGGTTCTCCGTGGAAACGCTCTCGTCGGGAATCCGATTCAACTTAAACGCGAAGTTCACCATTAGTGGCTCGTCCGGGTCACAACCCAGCGACTCGCGAGTCAACTCAGCGAGTTTCTGAGTCACCGAAACCATCCTGAACTCGAACCTGATCCTTAACCTCTCCGCTTGTCGACTCAGCATCTCCCCCACAGCCCTCACCTTCTCCTCGCCGCCGTTCTCCGCCACAGCAACAATCTTCACCGCCGGCGCCGCCTGCGCACGCGCCGAAAGAAGACTCAGGAGGTTCACGTACTGCTTCCCCTGTCCAATATCAAAATCCACAACACAGAAACCGTTCCCGTTCTCTGTTTTCTCCTCAAATGCAGCTTCGAGAATCGCGAGATTCGCAGCCATGAAACCAACCTTGAAGCACACCGAGTTTTCAAGCAGCAACTGAGTCGACTCAGCGTGTTCCCTACTATAGAGCTCCCCAACAGGTGGTGGGTTTTCAACCGGGTTCATTCTTGATTTCAGAGCAGAAACCATGCAATCAGTTAAACGCTGATCCGAATTCGCATTCGGGCTCGGGTTTGGGCTCGGGTTCGGAGCCTGAACCAAACGGGCAAGAATCTCCGACGCGGCATCGTGTTTCCCTTCGGAAATTGAAGATGCTGCCTCCATTAAACTCTGCTTGGAGCACCCAGAAGCAGGGGAAGCCACGGAGGTAGAAGAAGATGTCGACGACGTCGTCGACGAAGTGGGTGATGACGAAGCGGGTTTCTGGGTCGGACCCGGGCTGATCAGGTTCTGATATGTCTCTGACCACTCGCTTGTTGTGATCACAGAGGCTGCATCAGCTTCTCCTTCTTCGTCGTTATCTTCAAGAAGCTGTTTCTCTAACTCCTGTAACCGGTTCTCCATGATCTTCTTCTCCGGTTCAGAGTTCTGAACCCGGTTCTGCACCAAACCCAAATTGGAGCTCCGGTAAGGAAAGTTCGGGTTTTGGAGGATCGTGTTTGTCATGGGTAAGGTCCCGTTGTTGTTAGTATTGTTGGGTAGGTTAATGGGTTGAGGACGAAGCTGGTGAAGAAGGGGCACACCAAAACGCTGCGTTTGGAAACCCGAAGAAGGGTTTTGCAATTCAGAGATGGAAAAATCCATGGGTGACATAGGAGACAAGGGAGAACCATGCTGAAAAGTTGTTCTTGGTTTCACAGAACGAAGTAGAAGGTTTGAAAGAATCTGGTTCTGGTGAAGATTAAGGTTATTGTTACTGTTAAGGTTGTGGTTGTGGTTGTGGTTGTGGTTCTGGTGGGTTTGGAATTCAGCGAGGGTGCGTTTACCGATGAGGGATGATGCTTGGCGCTGAGCGATCTGAGAAGAAGGATCTAGAAACATTGCGGGGAGTTGTTGCTGGGTTCGGTAGAAAGTGTGGTGTGAAGGGTTAAGGTGGTTGTTGTTGGTGGCGGATGGGTTGGTGATGGGGTTGTTCATGGTTGCCGCCGCCGCAATGGATCTGCCGGAGAGACCACCTGCTCCGGCGAAAAACTCTGACGCTCCACCACCGCCAGTGAAACCCGGCGACGACATTCTTTGTCTGTGTTTTCTTCTCTAATCCGAAACAAGGATTCGGCGAAGAAAATAAGGAAAACAGTTCAAAGGTTGTGTTTTAAAGAGAGAGAAAAAAAGCTAGTGGTGTTTCTTGTGGGTTGATATGATTCTGGTGAATATAAACGGAGAACTGCAAAGGGTTTTCTGTTTTTATTTATTTATTTATTTCTTTATGGTGTTAAGTTTATTTATTTCTTTAATTTTAAAATAGAAATATGGAATGTTTCGCATCAGAATTCTAACGCATTGAGATCAGACCGTCGGTTTGTTTTGGATTCGAGATTTCGACCAGATTCAGAAAAATGGGACGGTGATTAGCGCAACGCGTCACAGCCGAAACGCACGCCAACCTGGTTATTTAATAACGAACTTCAATTCTCGGCAACCCAAAGAGTGAGCCATGCGGTCACGCTACCTCTCTCGCGCGTGTTGGAACAGATAAAGTGCGTATTTGGCCTTGTTTTCTTGTGAAACTTCCCCAAATAAATGTAAATTGATAAATGCTAAAGCGTTAGTTAAGATGGAGATCGGGTTAATCAATCTCTTGGATTTTTATATTTGAAGAAAGTTTGTACTGTTTGATTTACATATTTGACTTTTTTTTGGGTTTGTAAACTAGATTGATATATTTGATTTTATTTTAAACTTTGTATAAAAATTATAATAATGTATATAATGACGTAATCTATGTGAACCTTGTTGTGCAACAATTAAAAGTCGAGATTTCCTAATTAAATTTTGTTAAAAAGTTTATCAAGAATAACAAAGAGAATCAAGATAGAATATTTTTATTGAATTATGTAAAGATTTTGTAATTGTCTAAAAATTTGATTGTGTCTTTAAATGAAATGTCTAATAACATCACAATTAGAATAAATACTCTTTTTGTTCTCAGTAAATTTTACGATATCCACTTTGTCCACTTTAACCCTTAGCAAATAAAAATGTTATTTGTGGTCTCTAAGAAATTTAAAATAGATCAGTTTAGTTAAAATCTTGGTCTTTCACAAATTTAAAAAAGACTTACATTAATTCCTCAAAAAGACTAAAAAGAATCCATTTTGAATTTTTTAAGAATCACAAATAGCTTTTTTATTTGCTAGAGACTTAAACGGCTATCGTGAAATTTGTTGAGGAAGGATAATTATTCTCACAATTGTTATAGTAGTATCGACTTTTAATAGTAAACGTATGTTAATTGAAGACTATTACCACATTATTGCCTGTTTGGTACGTGGGATTCTTCGAAATTTTCGGGAAACTGAATTTTTCTAAATTTTTAATTTTAAGATATTATCGTAAACTGAATGTAAAAATCATATTTTTAAAAATTGAGATTCCCGGATAAAAAAAAAAAATTCCTCTACCAAACGCCCCCTAAAAGATTTCTTACTTTCTATATATCAAATTTTATTTGATGTGTAGTCATTAAGTGATAAGTAAAATATATTTTATTTTCCTCTTCAAATCTTCTTTAATTTTTTTTTTTTGAAATAATCTTCTTTAATTTTTTTTAAGCATATGAGTAATTCAAAATAGAAAAACTTTTACAACTTTGTTGTTGATCTATTCAATTAATCTTGCCCAACTTTCCATAATTATTACAAAAATTCGATTAACTTTTCACAAATAAAATATTTAATATACAAAACAATTATTATAATCAACTTTTAAAATATGTAATTTTAAGCTATTACAAATAACTAAAAAATATGTTGAGGATCTAAAAAGTAATTACCGCTTTTTTACGGTCTTCTTTTTGGTTTGTGTTACAATTATTTGGTTTGATTATTTGTTACTTGTTCAGTTGAGTAATTTTCGTAACGAATGGCTACTTGCAGGAATAATTACTATTTTTATTAAAAATATTCATCAACGGATTCAAACCATAGTAATTGAATCAAAAAATCAATAACTGAATTAACAGAAAATTAAAATTGAAAAAAAAATCTTGCATATTTTAATTGGATTGGATTGGATCGGGTTTCGATTTAGTTGGTGAAAATCGATTCAATCCAAATCGATCCAATGTATTATGTATTTATTATTTTTGAAAGATGGTGACTTGAAATATTGTTGTCTTGTAGACTTGGAGGAATCTTAAATGTTATTGATAGCAAACTATCTTATTTTAGTTTTTTATTTTCTGTTAATCAATTTTAACTCTTCATGAGTTTTAAGACTTGTTTTAATTTGAAGATTTGAATTTTTCAATGATTTGTAATTTTGAATGACTGAAATTTTAAGCTTTTTGAAAAATTGAAAAACATTCAATCCAAACCGAATAAAATTGAATCGGATTTTTAAAAAAATCCAAATTGAATGAATAATTAAATGATCAAACCGAAAGGATTGGATCAAATGATTTTTGCTTCAAAACCGATCTAATTCATACTGCGAACACCTTTAGTCTCCGCAAACCAACAGTAGACTTTTTAGCGTATTTTGTCCTTATTCACACACTTTCCGAGAAACTTCTCAGAAGGTTACTCATCTCAAAATTACTCTAAGTCAAGCACGCTTAACTATGGAGTTCTTAAGTTATGGGCTACTAGGGGTGTTCATAAACTGATCCAAACCGATTCAAACCGCAGAAACCGAACCGAAAACCGAAATAACCGAAAACCGAAAACCGAAAACCGAAAAAAACCGAAAAAATTTACTGGATTGGATCGGTTTTCGATTTGGATGTTGAAAACCGATCCAATCCAAACCGATCCAAACTTATTTTCTACCAAATTGGGCCTATCCCAAATAATAGCCCAAAGTTATAAATCCACTCATTTGCCCATCCGCTTTGAAGTGAAACGCAAAAAAATTCTAAACCTAATCCATCCAAACTTACGCTCTGGCAGTGGCATCTGTGGGTAAGGGTCTTGCCGTTGTCTTGCTCTCTCTCTTCTCAGTCACTCACGCTCTGGCACTGCGTAGCATATCTCTTTCTTCTCAAAAATCAACGTTTGTCTCTTCCGTTAAACAACCAAATAAACATATAACAAAGGTACTGTAACACTTGATTTTATTTGCATCAAGGGCATGATAAAGGTATAACAAAGCAGATTTCTAAATTTCTTCCCATTATTCGTGTAATGAAGCAATAATATTTTCCTTCATTTTTCGTTGGTTTCAAACAATCGCCTGTTATTCTGTGTGGCTGTGACATAACATTTTTTTCTTTAAAAAAATCTATAGAATCATTTATCTGAAGAGATGGTGTATTGAAATGTTTATTTTTCTTGTTTTATTATCTAAAAATACAATGTAAAAATGGTGCCAAAATATTATGGGTTGAAAACCCAATTCCTTCGATTCTTACCACACCAAGAGGGGCACAAGTTGAGCCATCAGATATAGACTTAAGGACACAAACATAACAGCTGTAGAAATAAGATTAAGAAGGGAGGGGTTTATGAGAAAAGATAGGGGAGGGGTTTGAAACATCCTCATTTTTTCTAAAAATAATTCTTATAAGTTTTGTTTTTTTGGCTTTTCAAAAAACCGAAAACCAATCCAATCCAAACCGAAAAAAATTGGATCGGATTGGATCGGATTTGAAAAAAAATTCAAACCGATCGGATGGTGTAATGACCAAACTGAAGGAATTGGATTGGATGGTTTTTTGCTTCAAAACCGATCCAATCCAGACCGCGAACACCCCTATGGGCTACTGAAAAGTATATGCAACTTGTTAGTATAGGTAGTTCCAATTAATTCCTTTAAGTTATCCTCAACCGTACAGTCTCATATCTGCACAGTCTCAGGATCCCTCTTATTTGAGTGTTGATTCGATTCATTCATATACCCCTCTCGCTGGAAGCCTTGTAAGAGCCCCTCCTTACCGTCACAGTCTTCCTACCTTAGCAGATCTGGACTCCGGACACTAGGCATAATAAATGGTAGTATAGCCCAACCCATGTGCCAAAGGACTATCACTCCCCAACCTCATCAGCGTCCGGAATATTAAAATTTTAGCAAATATTAACAAAAAGTGATTATGAATTAGTTAAGAAGTTGGATATGTTAGCCGTTGTTAATGGCTAGTAGTACCTGTTATTCAAAATTATCTCTGTTTGGTAGAAACATATAGTACTGACATAATTTATAAATAGTGGTAGTTTGTAATGTGTTACGTTGTGTAACTGTTTTAGTAGTGGTTTGTCAAGTTAGTTACATTCAAGTGTAAAGGGGTCATATCCAGTTGTTGAAGGATAGTTAAGGGGTATGAATGAAGATATATAAAAGGACTATACAGTTGTATGAAAGTTATGCAGATAAATAAATCAGTTTCAATCTTTCCTTCTTGATTTTTCTTTCTATCTTAGAGCTCACCTGTAACATTGGTGCTTTCATCTAGATGACTCATCCATTAGGTTACCATGTGAATTCAACATCTCGTATAAGTGGTTTGAGCAATGTGTAGAACTTTTTGTTGATAATCAAGCTCAAATGCAACGTCTAGAAGTCAGGCTAGATGATCAATATAATCAAATTGCTTTTCTTGCAGTTCAAGTGCAACAATTTTACAACACAGTGATGGCCATTGATGTTTGCTCAAAAGAGCCATTGAAACAACAAGAAGTTCATTGACCACATTGCCAAGGGTGTATCCTTATGCCAAATCGATGCTTTGGGTTATAATTCACTCAAATGCAAATTCCTACAAATTCCACTGTCATGAATTGGAGTTGCCGCGATTGTTCTCAGACAATCAATCAGCCCTTGGGCACTCTACATTTTTACCGTTACGAAAATCTCATGTCAAAGATTCATGCAATTCAGGTGGACTCTTCTTCCATAGAGCAAGTGCAAACAAAGAAGGGCCAAGATTTCATGAGCAGGTCCATGAAGACATTTTCACCTACATTGGCTGAAATAATGACCGATAAGGATGTTATTTGAAAGTAAAATGACCTTGAGGGTCGAGGCATGTGATAGGGAAAAACTAAATTTTTCGCTAGCGGAACACACATGCACATCAAGATACGTGCTTTAAGACGTATATTATACCTTGTTCGTGAAACTTTAGGATGATCAAGGTCAGGTCTGAAGGGTTCAAACCCTCTAACGTTGATCCACACCACCCGCGTCTAGATGCAAGAACTCTTTCTTG